AATCGTTGTTGAGTTTCCCTCTGTTGACAAGAAGATTTATTCTTCATTTTACTTAATTCTTCAGTATTACTTGAAAGTTGATAAATGTAAAATGTTTTTAGTGAAGAAAGGGGTTCACATTCAGCTGTGCCATCGTGGCTCATTGCTTTGTTTATAAAGGTGGCCTGAAATGTCTCGTTGGCAAATCATTGTCAACTCCTAGTACTTCCACACTCTAGTTACAGTTTCTGAGATGAGGAATTAACAGAGCAGTTTATTTTAGTAACTAAACGCAGAAACAAGTTGGTTTTAGTGATTATAAGCATTTTAAAGCAGTTGTAACGTTCCAATTTGTGTAATGTTTCATGTCTGTATTTTTCCCGCATACCTTTTAGGGCAATTGCATCTCAAACTTACAGCTTTATATTTTATCCCATTTATGCCAAAGACTGCTGGTTTAAAAAAAAAAATTGCATGAAATTTGTATATGTTACCTAGAACAATTTAAGAAGCAAAGATTTGAAGAGAAAAATTTTATTAAGTTTTGGTTTATGGGTTCCCAAAAAATGGAGCACTAGGCATACAAGGATTTAAAGGACTTAATGTCCCCTTCTGCAGGATGCCATACCAAAGATGATGTTTTGTTTGATTTTTGTGTGTGTAAGGGGTGACTTGTGACATGGGTTTGTGATAATACCTTTACTGTCTTTTCCCTAAATTCAAGGCATATTCTGTTCAGCTGTGACTGTACTTTGGTTGTTGCCACCCTAAGATCTTTGAAAGGACTTTTGATACAATAAGTGAAAAATCAAAACCTCTGTATGTAATATTTGGCTTTGAATTCTGGGAAACAAAAACTTAACTAGGGGAAGCTGAATGCAGTCTTCAGCGTGACTAATAGTAATAATGTGCTTATGTTAGTTTCTTAGTCTTGATAAATTCTCTGGGTGAGTAGAAGCAAGAGACTAAGTCTGTGGGAACTCAGCTGCAGGCACGTAACTCAGGAACCCCTGTAAATATATGAATATATAACTAAATAGTTGGAGTTCATTAATTTAGGGAAAGATTAGCGACAGTTGTATTTGAACCGATTTATACTTTGTAATATTAAGAATTAAAAGTCAACGGAAACACATTTTTCACATGGAGGTACCAAGCTCTAAGTTTGATCACTAGGATATCTGCTCATTTTAAGTTGTTGCAGTTTGCTTTTAAATTTTCCAAATGAAAGCTTATTGTAGAAAAAGCTAACATCTTCATTTGTTCAGCTTCATTTTAAATTCTGAAGAGAAAAGCATCACCTATAAGAAAACAGTCAGATATGAATTCATTGTGTGTGAAGATATAGACAACTATTTATAAAAAAAAACAAGAGATGTTATGGTGGCCACTGTAGATCTCCTGTTGACTTGCTCGCTTACATTGTTTTGTTCTGACCTGCTTTTTTCTGTTTTGTTCTATTTTACCTTTTAAAAAATGAAATAAAAAATATAACTCAACAATAAAAAAAAGATAAAAGACAACAGAGTGAAAATTCATCAGTTTAGAGTCTGTGCTGACATTAGGTTTGAACACATACCAAGAATAAAAAATACTCACTCTGGGATGATAAAGCATAATAATTTTATCTCTGTTACTGCCCTGGGTTTAGAGGATCATACAGAGGGCGTGGCCTTGTGTCCTCAGTGCTGCAGGCCATGACAGGGATTTCCTTGCTTGAGCCATGATGATTAGGGATTTTTTTCTGGTTATTGTGTTGCACACCAATGTTCAAAGTCAGGCTGACGCTGGTTTACAGAAGGTCTTGAATGCTAAGAAACTTGAACTTTTAGTTTTAGATGAGGAGTAGTCTGTTGCTTCTGGAAGGAAGGAGTAATCTTTGTAAGACAAGGCTTGTCAACAAGTGATAACAAGAGTCCTGTGAGGTAACTGAGAGGGTGTTTGAAAGGCCCTGTAAAACATGAGCCTGCTGAGATAAGTGAGTGAAATTTAGATAAGTCCTGTGGGGGTTTTCTGAAACACAGGAATGACATGAATTTAGGGCAAAAACAACGAACAGATAAACACACAAAACACTCCCTGCTCTTGGAGATGCAGCACAGGCTCCGTGGGACTGAAGTAAGTTAGAGGGTCAGCCCTAACTCTAAGTCTTAAAACCCATGTGTGGGTGAGTCAGGGCTCCTCACAGGAGGAATCGATCCAGAATTCTCCGGGCTCCACGGCTGTGGATCTGGGGAGAGTAGTAGATGGTGACTGATAACCTGACCCGCTGTGTGCTGCCTATGCTGGATCACATATTTCCACTTTCAGGGATGCTCTGGCGAGGAGTTAGGTTAAGAGTGGGGAAGCTGGTTTGCACAGAGGCGCACATGGCTGTGGGAGGCAGAGGACCAAGTTGAGAAAGGCCCTCAGCACCCCAGCAGGGAGCTTTAGGGTGCAGCCAGGCTGGCCGTGGCGATCCTGGGTGTCTGAAACCCAAGGGTTTTATTCATCTATGACTGCAGAGAGGTCACAGGTAAAACTGGAATCCTGCCTCCGTCCATGTGAGTGGCCCTCGGTTTCCTGAGAACAGTGGGTCCAGAGACAGGTCATGCAGTGCGTGGTAGAGTTGTGTGAGGAAGTGTGGGTGGCTGTGTACTGACTGAAGATGGCAAAGCGAGGTTATTTCTGTGAAAATTAATCAACTATTTATCAAATACCTGTTGTGCATAAGCACCGTGTGGTGCACGAGAAAGCGACTGAGACACAGCCAGCTGCCTCTGCCCTGAATCCGCACTGCCTCAGCCTCCCTGGATCCAGCATGGGTGCGACCTCCTCAGGATGCTTGGTACCCTGGTACCAAGCTTGGAAGCAGGAGGAGGCAGTTAGTGACAGGACATCCTGGAGATGTGAGGAGAGAGGTGAAGAATGTCAGGAGTCCTGGGACAGAGCGGGGAAGGAGCGCGTGGCTGCACAGGCAGGACAGGATTAGGACTGGACAGAGAGAGGCTGCTTCTCCTGTGAGCGTGGGGCTGGGGGAGACCAGGTCCTCCGAGATAGGATGAATCAGGGGTCTCAGGGAATCTGTGATGATGCCATGTGCAGAGCAGGCTGGGGTGTTGTTTCTGCCTCTGAAAAGGACCTGATCGAATGGAAAAATGAGGTCGTTTTGGCTTCATTGTATCCTGTGAGAGAATAAATGCAGAACACATTGAATCATTGAAGGCATTGGTTTTAGCTAAGAGGCTGTTCCTTAATGGTCTGATGAAGAGTCTGTTGGTATACCAAGTACGGTGTGAATGTTGGGGTGTCTGCAGTTAGCTGAGGTTAGTTTGTATCTGATGAAGCCCAAGGGTTTAGGATCTAGAAAGGGGAAGTAGAGAGACCTGTAGGCACTTGGAAATTTCTGCCAGGCGAACTCAGAGATAGAAAGCACATGTGAAATATCTATCAGGAGAATTTAGAGAACAGAAGAGTGAGAACCATTTCCTGCCAGGAAGTTGAACCAGGTTTTGGAACAGATTTGCCACGTGTTTGGTGTTCTTGCTTTCTGCAATTTAGAAAATATAATTGTGGGCTCATATTTTGTGGCCATAGCTACGCTAACAGTAAAGAAGCACAAGGACAGTTCTGTCCGTCAGATGAGGAGCTGTGTAACTCTGAGACCCCCAGGGAGGGCTGTGAGTGGAGGGCTCTGGCAGGTTGGTGGTTGGGGAGCAGAGCTGCTTCCATTCGCAGTTCAGTGTTTGTTAACGCAACTTGACTTCATTTTCCTTCATTTTAAGGGCACGCAAGTCAGGAAATTGGTGTAGGTAAATAGGAGAAAAGAACTAGTTAATGCTGTGCTTTTCCTACCATGGTCAAACATGGTAGGAAAAAAAAAGTTATTTGGAGAAAAGTTCACTATTTTCTTTGAAAGATTTTAAAGACATTTTAAAATCCTTCTTGTAATAATTTTAGGGGCGATTTTGTGAAATCCTGCTTTAGAGGGAAAAACTATAGCAAGAACTTTGGCTGTGTTAGGTTAGACCTAAAGTGATTTATTTAAAGGCAGAAATTAATATTTAAACACTACAAATGTTAGTCTGAGAATTACCCGGTGCTTTTTGTGGTGGATGTTGTCAGCAGGGTTTGCAGCCCAAGGGATTCCTGCGGAGGGGGAGGGCATACCGAACTGCCCCCACCTTTGCCAGCTTCCCTGCAGCAGGGCGGAGGCAGCCGGGCTGGCTGAGGTCAGGCACTCCCATCCCAGCCTCTCCAGGGCTTTCTCTGTGTTGCCAGCGTGCTGGTAAAAATGACTCTAAACTCTTTGTCAGCGTGGTTACTGGTGCATGCATCACAGTGCCACGCAGATAAACCTGTCACAGCGCAGAGCTGCCGCCGAGAAGGCTGCGAGGCCAGGCCTCCAGCTTTTCATTCGAGCATCACTAAACGTGCGCAGAGTGCCCAATTATTTCAGCGTTATTGAGCAAGCCGACGGGAGGACCCAAGCCTTGCTACATTAGATTTTCTTTAGTAATTTACTCAAGTACCGCTGAGGACACTTAAAGGGCTTAAAACGGTGGCTGCAACCAGTTCCCTTTTCTGGGTTGTTAATTCAGGTTTTCTCTCTCAAATTAACTCTGGCTGCACGCTGTGCAGCGGTTCTGGGAGAACTGTTTAACACTAATTTTCTCAATTTTCGGCTTTTTTTTGTTTAACATAACTGCTTTAACAGTTATTCATGTATATGTTTTGATTAGAAATGTATGATAGCTAGGCCTTTTTTTTTTAAAGAACAAAATACAGGGATTTAAAAAAAAATCTCTGATTTTCAGCTCTTAAGAGTTATTTATACCAGGTGTTCAGAATCCCCAAATACAAGCAAAAAAGGTAACCTTCATTGACTGCATGCCTCTCCCTAGGTTTCCCAAAAATGCACACCTGGGTTAAGTGTTCCCCTCTGGAGCTACAGGGCTCCCATTCTCCAAGTACCGCTCCCTTTCAGGCGATGAGGGGTGAATATGGGGGACAAATTCAATATCTGGTCTGATTGTTCACAGCAGCAACAGCTCCAGGCCCAGCATCTGTCACATGGACATGGCCTGCCGGTGCCTCTGACGCCGCACCCTTCGGGGCTTCAGCCTCCTGCCATCCCGCCCATCGGCAGCAGCGCCGGGCTGCTGGCCCTCTCCAGTGCCCTGGGAGGTCAGTCCCATCTTCCAATAAAAGATGAGAAGAAACACCACGACAACGATCACCAAAGAGGTGAGCCACGTGCTTGGGGTGTCAGGCTGGAGCTCCCCCATGCTGAGGGGTTCGTTCCAGATGTCATTGGTTTGGGTTCAATCTCTGAGTTCAGTTTTGCCAGTGCCCACGCAGTGGGTCTCTGCTCTAAGGCAGAGTCCTGATTGGGAGTAGTCGTTTTCCAGAGGACACTTTGGCAGTAGTCAGGCATACGTGTGTCCCCAGAGGCAGAGAGGTCTGTATGCAGCCTTTGATGCCTTGCTGCTCACTACCCTTTCCCAAGGCAGAATTGGTAGCAAAGTCCTGGCGTGTCCTGTGGCTGGAGTAGTAATGTCTAATTGTAACCGGACTGACTTTGGGGAAAGACTTGCTAACAAAGGATCGTTCGAGTTTTGACCAGGCTAATTATTATAAATCTAGCAAACCTACATAGGACCATAAAAATGTCACAGATAAGAAAACAGTTCTGTTAGTCTGGGTAATTGAGAATGCAGAAGATGAATTAATGAAGTCAGTTGTCTTAACTACCTCTCTTACCTAGTTTGTTTAGAAGCATTACAGATACCTATCTTAATTTCTTCCAACAAGGATAGCATAATTATGTATGCCATTAATTGATGTAAAGGCCAGTTGTATGTCCTCTAGTTTCGCTTCCTGTCTTCCCTAAGGAAGATGATGGAGCAGAGAAATTTTGAAGTGACTCTACGTTTGCATGCTCATTATGAACACTTTCTAATAGCTAATGACAAAAATAAATGCAAAATCACCTTGCAGCACTGCTCTGTGGAATGAGCCACGTGGGTAGCTCATTGGTCTGCAGGGCATGGCTCATAACTAGTTTTGTGTCTGCTTGTGTTTCAGTGTTGTTACTATGCATTATAATCTTGGGTAAATTATTTTATCACATAAGCATAAGTTCCCCATGTCTTATGTTAGAAACACTGTAATATTTGCCTTCTAGTTATCTTAATGCTATGGTACAGAGTTGACTCACGAATGTAAATACTTTTATAAGTGGAAAAATCAATAAGATACACAAATAATAAGATCCAGCTTTGGTCCCTGTGAAATTGTGTCAAAGGTAGATTGGTTCTTTGTGAAATCTGGTAGAGTCATATTAATAATTAACTTCGTAGCACAGTTGACATCTGTGCCATTTATTATTTAGCAGAGATCAAGTTTGATAAATGCATGATTTTGTGTAAACTAACTGGTACTTTTCTTTTTTCCTTCTTCCCTCCACTTTATCTGCTTGTATTGCTGCTGTTTTGCCTATAGACAGAGACTCCATCAAGGTAGGACTTGAAATGCTACACAGATAAAGAAATGCTTGAAAGGGCTCTGAATGATGGAAGTAAATCAAATAATAGTTTTGAGGTTTAGAGATTAATATGGTGAGCTTTTACCAAATAGTAGTTAACTGACTTTCCAGCATTTGGATGGTATTTTTGAAAATATTGTCCAGTTTCTCTATCAGAATTGTGAATGGTAAGATTAGGTTTGTACTGCTCATTTTATGTCTTGTGTGAAAAAGTAACTCCTTTTCTCACTTGAGCTTTGGCTGTGAGATAATGACAAGAGGAGTAAATAAACTGATTCATAAGGAAACGCATACCAATTTCATTTTGAAACAATTCCATTCTATAAAATCCATCGCCAGAATATTTGTTTGGATGACCTGTAGTTCAGTGGATACAGTTCAGTTTGGGCGTGGCATGTGTGAGAGCCCTGGTGTAATCCCTAGCACCCCAAAAGAGATTTTTTAAAAATACCATTTGTTTAAAAGCATTGCTATTTATCAGAAAGCTTTTTCCTTCTCTTTTTAACATCTTGGTTCTCACCGTGGTGGTGAATTCTCTCCTTTGCCTCTGCCTTACCTGCTTTCCATAGGGAAGCAGGGTGGGTGTTCAGGGTGTCGTGGGCTGTATCAGCTTAGGTAAGGTCAGATGTGCTAAGATTCTTGAATTTCTTTACTAAGCCAACGCGGAAACCCGCCTGCTGTCACAGGAAGGAGGTGAGGTGTGCACGTTGAAAGTTTCTTTGATCACTTTTGAGCCAGGTACAGTTAAATATGCAGTTGTGTTGTGCATGGTTGTTACACGTGTCATTGAATGACTTATTGATTACAAGAATGACAGTTTTCAAGTATTGGCCAAAGGACAGACTCTGTCAGCTCTCTTTTTTTGTATTTTACAATATTCGAACACTGTGGAGTGTAGTTAAATCTCTTGCAGTTTTTAATGCAGCTGTGACTATGAAGGCGAAAATCTTTCCCTGCAACGACCTGGGCAGTGGATTTGAATGTTTCTTTATTCCTTGTCCAGCATTTCTAAGTTTTTTCAGGCAGTTTTCTTCCCCTACAAATAATGGAAAATATAAATTGAGTGTATGTATTTTACTCTTTTAAGAATCTTTATTAGTTTGAAAGATCACTTGCAATTGCATATAAATACCAGCATTTAGAGTTGAAACTGTGTATTACATGATTTTATTATGCATTTTTAGTTTTATATTTTGTTGTATAATATGTTTATCAGTACCTAGGTTTTAAAAAACACTTGTAAATGTTGCACACATGTGTGCTTTGCAATAGTGAGTGAAGGCAGTGACCAGAATAACTGAGAGCAGCACCAGGCAAGCATGTCTGTGATGATTCTGAGGCTGTGATATAAACTCGCCTCTGGTTTCTTGTGATCCATACCTTTAAGCGGGCCGTGAGCTACACAAAAGCCTCCTCTCATGCCTCATGCCAAGCCTACTGAAAATATTTATTTTCAGTACACACGGTTATGGCAGCTACATTTTCTGTCCTCCTTGCAGGAGTTGGGTAGATTCTGAAGTCATCTGCAATCACTGACCGGGAAGTCCGCTGTGCCCCCTCAAAGCCAAGTGACAAACAGGGATTAGAAGTGGATAGTTTTGCCTTGATTTGTTAGAGAAGGGTGACTATGCAGAGAGGGGCGTTCTGGAACTCCAAGTTGTGTTTCTCAGGTCTGGGGCTGTGTTACTGTGGTTCAGTAGTTCGCTGGTTTCTTAAATGTGGTCCGTGAGGCTCAAAAAAAGCAGTGTATTGCTTGTTCCGTTGATCATCCCTGTCCTCCGCTGAGTGATTCCTGGTGAAGAGGGTGAAAGGGGACTTTTATGGCTGTCGGCTTGTGATTCAGGCGGGTTTTGTCAGTCAGAGCGAGCCAGTTGCCTCCAGCTGGAATCCGGCTTGTATGAAGTAATTTATTCACACAGGATAATGCTCCTTAACATTTCACAGGTAATGAACGGGACATAAATTTCCTTTTGCTTCTGATTTTTCCCTTTCCTCTTCTAATGTGCAAACAGGCAGCTCTGGTACTCTAAATAATAAGTAATTTTTGGCCATCTGTCAAAAGGAAATTTCAATACAAATTTAAATTAATGGTGCCTGAAATTTTTTATAGCTCCTCTAAAAGCTTCTAATGTGCAGAAAATTCTGAATCTGCTGGTAGTAATTAGTGTTGCATGTAATGAGGAGGTGGGCGGTGTTATGCAGGCCCATTGTAACGTTTTGATATGGTAGCAAAATTTTGAGTTATGCCAGCTTGTGGATGAGTTTAATTGTGGGAGACACTTGAAAATGTTTTCTTGATTTTCCAGATTATTAAACAGGGCAGACTTCAGAATAGCTTATAAAATACAAATTTAAACTTACTGTAATGATCAGGTAATTAAACTGCTTTACCTTCAGGTGCCAAGTGAAATGAAAGAAATCGCTTGTTAAATTGTTGGACCTTTTTTCTCCTTTTCTTTTCTCTTCTTGAAAGTTCTGTGTCCACTGAATCACATGCTATTGGCTTTATTGATCTTGTTTTCTGTAACTCCAGTAGCCAAGTTCATTCCTAAGCCTGTTATTTACAGACTTCTACCTGAAGTTTTTCAACAAGGGTAGAGAATGTAAATATGAACCTAAAGGAGAAAGCTCCACAGGAGTCCAAGACTCTGTTTCCTTGGTGATGGGAGAGTAGACCGGTGTTTGGAGCAGGCTGTTGGAGTAAGGGCCTCAACCCCCGTGTTCTCGCTTATCTGTCACTGACGGCCTAGCATCCCCGTGTGCCCACTGGTGAGTCTCACAGTTGAGCTCTGAAAATAGTGGGAAATGGTGGTCCACCCTTGATGGCAGGGAGAAGCCCAGGTGTGGCTCCCGGGCAAGCCTGCAGGCTGGGTTCCTCATCTGAGTGGGGCTTGCTCTTGGAACTGACAGCCTGAGGCCCATCCTTCCTACTGAGAGGACAGTCTGACTCCAGAATGTCCTCCAGAGCTGCCAGGAGCCCTCAGGTCGCCGGGAGAGTTACCTCTGCCAGTCGTCAGGTCTCAGATTCCTCTCCAGGTTTCATCCCAGAGAGGCTGAAGTGAGTGTCATGATTCAGAGCAGTGAAGGCCAGATTGCCCAAGACTTGGTAGGAGAAATAGTGTTGTTGCCGCCCCCTAACCTCCAGTGCCCTCATGGTTCTCATACAGGCCCTAAATCGAGACCCAACTGAGATTCAAGCAACAGAATTCACAGTCCGCAAACACAGACCAGCCCACGATGCCTGCTGGCTTGCTGAGCTGCACATTTTTGTCACCATCACTTCCTACCCCCGTGGTCTTCTGATGTTTTCTCTCCGAGGCCTCGACCTTCTCTGATTTGACTTGTGCATTCCCAAATTGATGTCCAAAACCTCTGTCCCCATTAAGAATGCCAGCTGTGTTGGAGTGTGCGGTCGGGCCGTGTACCAGCATCGAACTTCATGGTGTTTGGGATCTTTGCTAGTATAATTATTCTGGATGGTGTACTTTTTAAAAATTTGCATGTAATTTTCAAACTAAATGTTTTTTTTCTGTGGGTGTGTGTGTCCTGTATTCTCTGAATCCTGAATTCTTGTTGTCATTCTTGTTGTCGAAAGGCTTTCCTTGTGTGTTCTCAAGGCAGTCCCTGTTTCTTCTGCTCTGTATTTTGGTGTTTGCCCTGGGCGGATGACTCAAGCATTGCATGCTGCATTTGTGGTTTCTCTCAATTATTCTCTGTTAGTGATAAAGATTTATCAGTGGAAAATTAGAAGGAGGTTATTTTTGTGTGCAGATTGAAGTGTATGATTCAGACCAAGAAAGCACTTTTGCCTCATTAGTTGGGTGTTAACAGGTGAAAGTCGGTTGTTACCCCGAATTAGAATCATTACTTCTCTTTGCCAGCTCACTTTGCACAATAAAACTTAATGGTCAAGGTGCTTTGCCAAGGTCTTGTGTAACCTGTGTGCCCTGCCCTTCATGCCACACCTGCTTTTCCTGTCTCGAAGAGGAGCTGCCTGTGTATCCTGTTTAACCCTCTGCAGTGCTCCGCCGGCATAGTGCAAAGGCGAGGCCACTTTGAGGAGAAAGGGGGGCAAGGAGGGAAGAGTGGCCCAGGAAGCTTTGTTTTTAACACCACCTTCTCCCCATGTCTCCTCTTAAGTAAGGAATATTTTCCCCTAGGTGAAAGCTTCCTAAGATAAGTTTGCATTTCTGCAAACTGAAAAGACACATTGCAAAAACAACAATGAGATAAAATTACGGAAGACTAAATTTCAAAGGGAGGAACAGAAGAAATCAGTAGGTCAGCGTAAGCAGACAGGCCAACTGTAGTGGACATGGGTTTCACACTTATTTCCCTTCAGTCTACGGTAATTGAAGTTATTTGATGAGGAGCTGTGACTTGGACCCTCCGTCCTACCCATGTTTAGGGACCCCTAGTGTCCACTTGATTACGCAGGTCTTGTCTAAGACCTCCCCTCCAGCACATACACACACACTGCGTGTGTAACTTGGAGTTCAGATTTTACCTACTAATTGGTGTTCCGCTTACTGTATTTCACCCCGGTGAAGTTTTAAAGGTGTGAAGGCCTCACCCAAGGTCAATAGCTGGTGTCCTTCTCAAAGGACAGCTCTTCACGTAATTCAGTCCTTTTCTTTATTAAAAGAAGCATGATTATGAAGTGCCGATGCAGTACAAATATACACACATATATAAATATTCTATAGATTTATAAAAATGTTTCTGTCTAGCCAGTAATGCAAAGGTCTCCCATGCACTCAGTATCTGTGTGTGGGAGCTGTGGTGTTTCACCGAGTTTTCATCTGTTCCTTTTTCTCACTGAAGGGTGAGATGTGATCATGACATACACTAAGCATGCAGAATTTACAGGTGTATTACAATAAGGGACCTATGGCCACCACTGCCCTTCAGGACCCTTTCCTGGCTGGGGCCATGCTCACCCATCATTCTGCCACCTTCTGAGAAGTTCTGTAAGAAGTTCTCTTCCGTGTCTTCATTGTGCTGCCCGTAGCTGCTTCGGTCTCCTGATCCGATCCATATGCTTACCTTTCTTGGTCTCCTCATCTCTGGGGAAGAGCCAGGAACCCCAGTGCTAGCTCCGGAGAATGAGCCGGTGGAGAACCTACCATCGTATTCTTCCCAGCCTGCCTGCCCGGTGGGTGACCCTGGGCTGCAGCAGGTACCATGGTTAAAGTCGCAGATGAAGACTTTTAGAACCGCTTCAGAAAGTGGCAGGAACAAAGAGATAAGTGTTCGTAATGAAAGAGAGAGCATTTGGAAGGCCATTGATGACAGCGCTTAAGAAGTATTTTATTGTAATAATTACTTTTAAAGTAAACATTCACTGTACTTTTGATCACACCTTATTTCTAAAGCAAATCCCAGGTAAGTATGCACTTTGCCCTCAAGTACTTTACTATGTAAAACAAATATTTATCTGACTAATGGTCATATAGTTTAGATTACCGTAATGCCCTTAATCTCTTAGTAAAAACAGTGTGATATCTCCTATGTCTAGCCAGTAATTCAACTCTGATTATTTCAAGTAATTAACATGGGGCCAGGTATGTAACTCACAGGTACAGTGTTCACCTAGCTTGCTAAGGGCCCTGGGCTTCATCCTCAGCACAGAGGGCCAGTGATCTGATTAGGTGAGATCCAGACAAAGTCACTTCCATTTTGTTGGGATATTT